GATCGAACCCTAGCATAGTGCATGTGAGGTTTAACTCAGTGGTGGCTCCACGCCGTGATGAGTTCTCTGACTCCATCCACGGGTAGCCCTTTCCTACTCGAGCCCTCTCACCCTGCCCAAATGTTAGGTCGGCTCTGATACCAAATGTCACAACCCGAGTTTGATGAGCTAACTGGCCAATAACTCCATTTTGGTCCTTCAACCACAGACCAAAATACTTAAGCGGGAGTTAAACGTAGTACACTCATCAAGCCCTTATAAGCTAATCATACACATTGCCCACTACCGATGTGGGACTAATGAGATGTTACACAAGATACCTTAGCAAGTCATATATATGAGTTAGTGTAAGCACTATGGACTAGTTACTTTTATATGGCATCAAATATCTGGATTAGTTAGTAAGACATCTCCACTCTCATTCACCCATAGGAGACCTATTTTCCTCCTTGATTTAGAGAATGCTCCCCATAAGGGTGTCATATCCTATTAATTTGGATTAAACAGGAAAAAGATCATTTGATCCATTTTCATCAGTAAAGTCAATGGCATAGGGGTCTGGCTTGAAAAAGGAACATGAATGGATGAGGTGACAGTGCTACAAGATTATCATTTCTCATATAAAAGAAAATATATCCATATACCTCTTAAGATGTGATTACCTGATTTAAGAGAAAAAGAAATAGTTTTTCTCTAACATTCAAGGGCAATGGGAGAACATGAAAGGATTGCTTAGATTTCCTATTTTCCACGTATGTTTTACTTATCTTCATTTTTTCCTTCTAAACTCATTTTACAAGAATCCTAACTGATTCTTTCCAGAGTACTTCTAACCAGTAACATTGTTAATCAGCTCAATCCAATTCTCAACACACTCATAAGTCTCCCTGGAGACACTAATTTCTAGGATATGATCATCATAGATTGCAAAGCACTCAGAATTATTCAATTTTGCTAACACATACTTAAATTTCTTTTTCCTATCTCGAAGTGAGTTTTTCCTACTCGAATTACATGATAATCACATGAGACCAAATATGATGGCAAAAGGAATATGGCTATTAATACTACACCTATGCAGACAAATTATCAACAGGTACAACAACTATAATGGTAATACTAAAAGGAAGCATGAACTAAGCAATAAGACAATATTAATACTCTTACAATCTCCTTTAAGCGGAGGCAGATTAGAAGGTGCAGCTTCTTCTGCATAGGATCAAACTGACATTGCATTATCATGCTGCAAAATGATCTGACCAGCATATAACCGCAAGCAAAATTGAACCACCACAAAAATTATTGACGAAGGCCTATAGACTTTGTGTACTGGTTTGCTACATAATGATATTTGAGCAACTTCCATCAAACTAGAGCAAATTATCCATACGAACTAACAATCCCAATTCTCAAATGCATGCTATGTGAGTAGATGAGCCAAAAGAACCACCAGACATGAGATAATAAATTTGACGAACTACTTTATCGACTCATTACATGTGAAAGATACGAACCAAATTTGCACTAGTGCCCTGATCCTCAGATTATTTATTGCTATTTTATCTCAGACTAGCATTTTGGAAGTTATATATCCACAATCAGCTTCCCTTGTAGCATCATTCTCAATTGACTCATCCATCAAACTAAAATGTAAATAATATAACCTGATCATTCTATAAACGATTTCTGCAATATTGCCCCAAATGACGGATCATCAAAGCGTCATCAATTTCAATCATTGCCAGCACACGCAAATCTACAATCTAAAGAAATCACAGCATACGATAAGGGTTTCACGACGCTGAAAGGCAATTAAAGAAATCAAAAAGAAAAAAGCAACAACGAACACATCACAAACAACGCATCGATCGAGATCGAGATCGACCGGGAGACGGGAACATCGCAGAGCGTGGGGGGGCGATCTGCCCGTCTCATCGGACCTGGATACGATTTCGAAGAGAAGAGATCGATTCAAGGGGACGATAGAGATCGGGTAGGGGCGGGAAGGCAGTTCACCTGTCTGGATCGTGAGAGGATACGAGAAACCAACGCCATGGCGGCCGCAACTCGCAGTCCTTCCTCTCTCTCTCTCTCTCTCTCACTGTGCTCTCGAATGCTGTAATTGGCATATCCGACGCCACCCTGCGTCGATCATATATCACGGAATTGTGCGCTATCTGTCACCGTAGAATCCACATCGTGCGGGCGCTGATGCCGGCACAGTAACTATTTCGTCAAACATTGGTCGATGATGAAATTTTATTTATATTTTAAATAAAAATTGAATTTAATTTAAATAAAAGAAAATTATTCTATATGAACTTAATTAAATTCATTTATAGAGAAGTAAAATACATGGGTATGATCATGCTAGATTAGCATTACTTAATTTTGCCATATTTACATGGAATTAATTACTTCTACTGTATATGTATATTTAATATGCATAAAAAAATGTTGAACCTGAATTAGAAATCCTAAATTTAATTTAAATGAGTCAATTCAACCTGCTATTATCATCAGATATTTCTTACCATAATTTGCAACTCAGTTTATTACCAAAAATCTGTATTTGGTGGCAATTCAAACTCTCTATGCAGACTTGTGATCTGTACTGCAATGCCAATACTTTGAGCAATCAATCATACAATATCTACAGAGATGCTGAAACAGAAACCAACATAATCCCAACATATGTACATAAATATTTACAATCATTATTTCAGGTGAGAATACTTGCATGTGTTCAGGATGAAGCATATTTACATACTACTGCATTAGTTATATGTGCAAGTTTGCCCACCTCTAAATTAAACTAGATCAGAACACAAGGACTAGACATCACCCATTATTTACGACTCCGTCGGATTCCGCTTGGCAGATCACCTTATATGTGCGCACACTGTCATCTGTCCAGAGGCAGACTATCTACAGACGCTTGGCCTCGAACTACTCGGGTCGAACGCTAAGCAGATTTGGCAACGCAGCCAACCGTAGCTTCTTTATTTCGGTAGCAGTTACTTTGCATGACTCCAGGGTAAGTGATCTCAGATTCTTCAGTGGTTTCAGATGTTGTAATCCAGCATTTGTTATGCGTGAGTTTGATACATTAAGAGAAACCAATGCAGTTAATCCTGCAATTGAATGAACCATGTCAACACAGGTGGATTTTGGAGCTAAACAATTGAGAAGCGGTAAAGAACAATTGCAAACTGCCAGTAAAGTACCTGAAATCAATTCCAGAGTCTTATCTGTGAGGTTGCAATTCTGAGACAGATTTAATAGAGTAAGAGATTTGAGGTCCTTGATGTTCTTGACTCCAGCATCGGTTATCGACCCACCACATACCTCAAGTGACTGCAGGTTCTTGAAATCTATTTAGATTACAGGAAACAACATCATCAGACAACTAGGTGAAACTCAAAATTCAGATTAATGTAAGATCTAACAGTAGATGAGCTGACAATACAGTCCATTGATAAACATATAATTCATGTCCCCAAAGCACTTTACAAGTCTACCAAAATCTAAGAACTTGGCATCCTGGGTGAAAGAGCATTAATAGCAGGCATCCTAATTGAAAGAGAATAGATATCACAACCAGAAATAAAATTTCCAATATAACTCGCACGTGCAACTGAAGAGCAATACTGGGAATCTATTTTAAGCTTCTCTAGATGCATCACCTGAAATTTTCCTTTTTGATTCAAGATCTACAGGATCTATCATTTTCTATATATATGATTTCCAATGCCCTTTTTATGATGATAAGCATGAACATGGCAGACAATAAGAGCCTCTAGAGTTCTCCAAAAGGAGTTCAGATAAAGGCCCCCAAAAATGCTGCTCTGTTTGTCTCATTTTCTCGTAAGTATCAACAGTCTTGATGTAGGAGTCATTTGACATTCCTCACTTTTAATCTTGTTAAAGTCCCAATAATTGATATTTCAATGAATTGATCATAAAAGCCTTTATGATCCTGGACTATTCAATCTAAAAACACAATGTTGAATTTTGAGGTTAATATGGTCGCAAGCAAGCGGCAACCAATCTCCCTGAAAGTTATGGCAGTAAGCAATCTTCAGATTTTATCTGCCATAAGTCTCACGATCATGAATAAACCACATTTATCATTTAATGTTTATTAACCCTACATCTCGTAAGCAAAATTATCTTCTCTTCTTCACTTACATGATGTTATTATAAGGTTGCTTTAGAGACTAAGTCGGTTATCTTGTTGCCTGTTAGACGGAGTAAATTGCCTCTGCATGAGATGTTGTGGTACTCCTATCTATTGCTTTCCTCTTTCTAGTGAAATATTCCATTGATGTTGTCTTTATCAAAATAAAAAAATTATCAATCTTGACTGAGATGTGATGTTTCTTCTTTTAATGTGGATGATAGAAACCATAGAACCAAAATAAAATAGCACAAAAACTGGAGAGGACCCTTGAAAAATGCACATAGAAAAGTTAAATAACTTACGCTGGAAACAGTTTGTCCCTAAGTCTGTGATACGAGCTCCAAAAAGATCCAGATGGGTTAATCCAGTAAGACCTGAATGACACAACAAGCATTTAAGCAAATGACTATCTGTTTCCAAGTTCTATTAAAGGGGCACCTGAAGGAAAATTTTCATATTAACTTAAAAAATAATCATAAATTAGAATAAAAGCTACAAGAAACAAGAATATATGATGAACCATATGTTGATCGCTCCTATGTATCTCTCTTAATAGTCAGAGGACAATCATGACGTTTTTTGTTGCTTCCAATCAAGTGTTCCTTGATCTTCCTGGCCAACTTGAGACACCTCTAATTTGAGTCAACTACAATCATGCCTTTTTCTAATTTTCTTTGATATTCCCCACACATTTATGACATCCATAATTTAAATAGGCTAATCCATCCTTGCAGGAGCACTTAATTGTCGTCTCCAGACATGCCAGAATCACCTTCAATAGTTCTCTCATATGTGACACCTCCCATATTACCAGTTTTAATAGGTCCTCTTTAATTTTAGATCCCGACACAAAGGATGCATTAGGTAGCTGACTGTTAGCATACATCAATATGAAGTACTCAAACATGGATATATGCAAAAAGCTTTTAACAGAAGTAAACAACATATTGCCCGTAGCAAATAACCTATCAGGTTCTCAACATTGTAGAAGGAATGTACCTGAACTAAAGTGGTGCATGATTCTCTTTTTCGAGCTAAATCATTTGAAACTTACGGTGGAACAGAATAGATCATAAAATTACATTCAAATAATAATTAACCCATTTATTAACAAAATAATACTTAATTTATTGTATTATTATGTTACTGCATGTGCAAATTGGAGCAGAATAGCATAAACCAAAATCTAATAAGCAATTATTTTGGGTGTTAAAAGGCCCAAGTGAAACCTAACAAGCAAGTGAAGTTCCTCAACACATTTGATCATAAAATAATTTCAACATGGACATTGCATCCAAAACCTTGTTTGGTCAAAACTTGTAGAAGGAATTTCAGTTAGCAGATAAAGATTAATAAAAACCCATATGGCAAACAAATGTATGAAACTAATAATTTAAAAAAAAAGTCTATTATTCCTATAGCTTTCTGAACCCTATATTCTGGTGAGTTTGCACTCTTACACTTTCGTTCAGCATAGCAATTACTCCCACCAGCTGTATCATTTTCAACTTGCCCAACGTTAGAATGACTCTAACTACTTGACTTGTACAAGACAGTCCAAGAATGGCAATCATGTAAAGCAACAATTTTTTTTATGCAGCCGCTTGCAGTTAATTCACAGCAAGATCAGAAGTGCAGAAGTTCGATGCCACCTTTTGAGTAGAAGGTTCAAATATAAGCTCAATGACTACTACTATTTGATAAAGTATGAAGTTATCAACAGGCATTATCACATGCCGTTTACTAGAATGAGTGCATATCCCTAAATTTATTGAATAGAAAAGCACCTAAAAATTCTACAAGAGTTTTTCTACATAAACCCTCCTGCAATTAATTTGCATAAAGACAACAAGTGCAGAAGCTTCCCACACAGACTTTTGGATAGGTAGGTGTTAAATAAATACAATCTGTGCAACAGCTAACTGAGGATTATGAATGTTTATACAGGCATTATCATATTTCATAATTATATTTAAATATTGGAATTAAACAGAATAGAGAACCACTTGAAATTTTGAAGTCACCCCCAAAACTTGCAGCCAGCAATAGTAAAAAAATAACAAATAAAATTTTCAAATTTCAGGATAACTTTTCATGTGGTCTGCCAGCTGTAGTTCAAATGGAACGTTACAAAATAAATGCTTGAATACCATCGTATATAGATATCCAAGTCTTCACATTGTTTAGACCAGCACATCATCACTAAGCATAAATCTAGTTTTTCAACTGACAGAAAAATTTTCTAAATCTGCTATGAGATGACAAATAAATTACACAAGCTATCCTACACGAACAAACAAATTCCAGGATCATAAATATTAGCATAAACATATAAGGACAACCATAATGATGCATGCTTGCAAACAAGTCTTACCGGTAATAGCCGTTAAGCCTACATCTGTTATCTGGCGAACATCCAAATTAAGAGATTTAATGGAAGTTAATCCAGACAGCCTCCTCAAACCACCATCAGTTACTGCTGTAAATGACAGATTGATACTCTCCAAGTTGTGTAAACCTGAAAGTGATTAAATCATAGTCAGGTTTCTTATGGTGTAATAATCTAACTACACAAACTATATAGATAATTTTTCAAGGATTCACATCTTAAAACCTAAAAAGAACTTAGATACCTTGCATATATTTTGCATAAAATGAGATATTGCAAGCCATAGGCCACCATATTTCCCAGGTCAAGAATACAATGAAAAACATAACACAGAGAAGAAAATGGAACACGTGATGTAAACTTAAAAGGCTAGTTTTTCAACTGTCACGAACTGAGACAGAACATGAAATGCATCAAATTGTTTATGGGAGAATGTCACTAGACAGATAAAGTAACAGATGTTTGTTGGCCATGAAACAAAGTTCACAATGATATAGTTACATCTAGCTTGGAGAAACTGCTACTGCAATTACTTTTGCCCAAAAGGAAATGATGTGATTGGATATGTACTTCATAACTAGTATATTATGCTGAGCATCACATTGTAACAAATGAACTAACACATATTTCATGTATAAGAAACAGAATTTTCTTCCAAGAAACACTATAACACAATAAATTTTGTTTGTTTCATGGGTAAGTACCCACAAAGCAGAAGCAAATAAACAACAAAGCATGGGGGTAGGTCATTTCAAGGCAGTGTGGCCACTTAGTTCTTCTATCTACTTATCACTTGGGTTGGTCAAAGAAAAAGGCTCCAGGGGTGGAATTGAAGGTGCAGATAAAGCATAGGTGTAACTAATTGCATAACTTCAGTAAATGAGAACTCTGACACCATCACATGTAAGTTGCAAAGCATACCAGAGAGATGGCTCAGTCCATTGCTTCCAATTTCAGTATCTGACAGCTCCAAACATTTTAACTGTAGAAGGCCTAAAAAAGCAATACAAGTTCAGTGAAGAATCTCAGTATAAGTTTGGCACAATCAACAAAAATTTCTTCAAAAATTTGATGACAATTGTCCGTGAAAAACATAGATGTTTCGGTATATTTTGTGATATTTTGAAAAGTAAAAGAATAGGTATGTGAGAAAGAGCACTGTTTAATATAAGGGTCTCAAATTGAATAACAGAACCAACTATGGAAAGATTATCAAGAAATCTAGGGATAACTTTTTTGGTTACAGTTGGTGACATAAGATATGGAATTTGCTCATTTTTTCCACTCTCTGAAAGCCTGCAGATGGTGCTTTGGCCCCTTAGGAAAATCATATCATAGACTTTCTCTCTTCCTGGTAGAAAACTTCATAGCTATCGTGTCATGCATTTTTTATTGTTGATCAACCTAATAGTTTATATACCACTAGCTCATGTGTTCAATGATCAACCAAAGTTAGCTAAAACATAAAAATCAAGTTGTAATTTAAGCACATGAAAATTCAAATGTGAAAGCATAGTGAAAACACAATAATGAAGTAACAGGGCTTGTCCAAAATGCCATCATTTGGGAGAAAAATTCAGAAATTAAAACTTCTTAAAATTTCATCGATTTTTGTTGGTAGTAGATGCATGTAACAGCTTGGATTAATTAGGCACAATAGCACTTACCTTTCAAGTTTAATAAACCTTCATCACCAATCTTGCAAGAATCCAAATTTAAGCTCTCCAAATTGATCGATTCTACAATTTATTAGGGATTAAGAGACAATCAGTATAGAAAAGTATATTATTCCAACATTTGTCACAGTAATGGCATTCAGAAAACCCGATGACAATGACTAAATACTCAATTATTTGCAAAACTAAAGCCACTATAAATCAATTTAAAAGACAAAGTACTAAGTGATTACCAAAATAAACACAATAATTTGCTTCAATAAATTCCAGGCAATCAAAAGATCTACAAAGCCATTAGGAGAGATAAACCAGTTATTGATCCTTAAGAAAAACCCTAAAAGTTAAAACTTCAATCAAGCATAAAAAATACAATAATACAGGGTTGGAAGCCACCAAGTAGGCCATCAAATGTGTATTAAAGGCTGCCAAATTTCTAGACCTCATCAAGAATGAGAGGTATTGGGAAATATCTCTTGCTACAAGGTGTAAGATTATTATGATGCAAAAACATTGAAAAGTCGTATTTCATGAAAGGTCAGCAGCACATGCAAAATCAAATGTGATTTACCTTTAAGATACACCAAACATGCATCAGTAATGTTGTTGAACCCCAAGTTCAAGACTTTCAACTTCTGAAGCCCTGTGATGCAATGGTTGTGCAAAAAAATAGTGAAAAAATGAAGCATAGAACAATATGTACACATAAGTAGACGAGAACAATGTTAATTAATACATGACCAAGTATATCACCGACTGGTTTACAAAAGAAACAAACACCATTGTCACGTAAAGCAGACCTAGTGTGCAGTTGAAAGTTCTATATATTCTAAAGTATAAACAACAATGTTGCTGTACTAAGGATATCAACGATTATATCAGCACCAAAAAAATAGTGTCCTTTGAAACCATCTCTTATGTACATGGGTCAATTGTCACCTTCAGAAAACAATAGTTAATTCATAAAAGTTTCCAGCTAGAAGCTGAGTTTAATTGCTTCAACAAGATGCACTGGATGCAGTGTTATGGATGTCATATGTCATATCCTCATACGTGATCTGTTCACGTTGCTTGCTTTATCAATATCCTTTCCCTAATCTAAGTCCAATGTGGAATTAGTTGCTTCATAGAGCAAAAATGCCTTTGATAATGCTTATATTCTTTCTCCAATCAGAGGGTGTACCATTCCTATTAGAAACTGAGGCTCGTTGCACAACCTGTGGCAGAAAAGTTAGCTCCTATGCCTCCCAAATCCAGATTTTCAAGCTAACATACTTTCTCCCAGATCAGTAGAGATTGATATTGGAACTAACATCAAAATGGCATCCAGGGTATCAGAAATTAAATTAGTTGAGAATATAGATATAAATCTAGAGTTTTCACTTTTCAGTATATAAGAAGTAGCATGTTCTAAAAGAAAATTAACAGAATTTTGTCCCCTTAGACATGCATGAATAAAGTTTGAACATAGATCTGCATCAGCGAAAAATCTGAAGTAACACATTCACACAGCTAAAATTACAAAATCTTTTATGAAACAATGTAAAACATGTTTCCCTTGATTTCCCATTTGGCATGAAAACACAAGGGGGCTACCACTTGAGGTTAGAGTGGTTACCGCCAAATCCTAGCTTGTGCCCCCCTATAGAATCAGTCGATAATTAAGTGGTGTGCCTGGCCCACCAAGGTGTGGAAAGCGTTAGTCTGTGACACCCTATGTGCCAATTAGTGCTTGTTAATCAGAAGTGACAGTGTTTATTCATGAAAAATATTGTAGTTTGGCATAAAGCTAGCAACATTTGAAAGAATACTACAAGTATTCAAAGGCATTATGGTACCTACAATATATACATGAACACTGAGAAGTTTCAAAAGAAACATTCTTCTCCATTTATTGCATGTTTATAGGACACATCTTAGTTTTAACGTGTCATGAATAACTCACCGGAAAAATTCTCACTTCCATCATCAGATATACCACATCGGCTCAAGTTCAGAAATACCAATGATGTGAAGCCTACAAAGATCCAGAAAGAACCATATGTATCACATATCATTTCTCTGAGCGGATACAGATAGGGTAATCCAACCAAAGCAGACAAGTCACTTTAAAATAATAAAACAAAAGAATATACATGATATGAATGAATATCTGCTCTGAAAGCCCAGCTAAAAGAAAATAATTTGGACAAATTACAAGTTAAACAGGCTATATACAGAGTTCAACAAGCTATATAGTAATTAAACCTTGAAAAATAATGTTAAAATATTACAGGTAAATATATACTTGTTTCTTACCTGCCTACCAAAAATAAACTTGTTTAAGAAAAAAATAATTAGTACACTATGAGACAAAAATTTAATAATACATAAAGTATGCAGAAACAAAATAACTAAACCCCAAGATTTGCAGGACTTTAGAAAGGGAAAAGAAACTAAAGAATAATTGACTTAAACGTAAAAGTGAAAAAGATACCAAGGAATATTGTACAGGGAAAGGGACAATAGCAATAAATTTATCACGACAAAGGAAAAGACCAAAACCTGATATAACATCCAAGCAAGAAGAAGTAACTGGACAACCCTCCAGGTCCAAGTGAGCAACTTTAGATAAGCCTGCAAGGAACTTAAATGTAGAAACAAATGCATTTTGAAACAGAATAGAAAAACAGGAGTCTCCCTGACAATTAGTTTCAAAGGACAGAGAATAACAAAACATAGAATAACAAACTGCAAGGGCAAGAACAGAAAATATACAATACATCTTACCTCTCAAATGAGCGATGCCCACATCAGTAACTTTACAACATGACATTTGCAACTCTTTTAAGTTTGTAAGACCTAGTTTAACAATAAAATGTTAACAAATGGATAAAATTTGCTTGATGAGACTTGACAAAGTAACCATATTACAAAAAAAATAAAGAAAAGAAGAGGAATATAAAGGAAAGGAAAGTGGGAGGGAGCAGTGCAACTCTTCTTTGTGAAATAAGGAAAAGTGTGCTATTTAGGTTATCTAACTAGAAGCAAAAGGAAAAGAGGCATATGATATCATAGGAAGATAAGTTAGCAATGGGCCTTTTTATCATGCAACAGAGTGCAATGTTTCTGTAATGTTCAAATAACTGGAACTCCTATATCTGAAGGGGTAAAAGAAAAAAAAAAATCAAACAAAAGGAATACGTACTGAGGTTATTAATAAAAGAAATTGAGCTTTAGCACTGAATAGGTGGGGCATATCATCACCGTCATCATTCAAACATTTTTCCCATCAGTCGGTATATAAAACCATATACTTCATCAGAATATTAAAGCTAATGCAATTTTATGTTATAACAAGAAAGCTCTAGAACTTGGAAAGTTCTTGAATCGAATTTCACAAAATCATTACAGCCAATAATGTTTTTCTTTAATGAGCTTTAAAAAGATAATGAAGTGTGCATCCACTGTTTATAGGATCCTTCAACTCTCTCATTCATCCTAACCAAGGCTATACAACCCCTTTCTCAGCCAAAGTGGCTTCTACCCAATATTGGAGGCACCACCAAAATGCTGAGCAAATATGTACTCCATGAGTATGTAGTGTACATCTTATTTCTAAACTCGCAGAGTTAATAAGGGCGATTCTATTGCTACATGTACATGCCATACTCTTTCTACTGTAGACTACCATTGAAATGTCTTCACAAATAAAACATGAAATTTATTCCACAGTAATGACTTCTCCTCTGGGCAGGATTGCCCAACTAAAATGATAATTGCTCAACTAAAATTGCAGTAATCTCGGCAGGACATATCCAAATGAGGCCAACCTGAAAGAGGCTCCATGTCTGCATCTGTTACACAATTGCAGTATCTGATGTTAAGGGATTCAAGCTTTTTCAAATCTGCAGAAGGTTCACATTTAATTGCGTGAAGGATAGAATATAAAAAGCAGCAGTGTTTAAACAAAAAACAGTCAACAATATAACTTACCGTATTAATACATAGTATATAAAAGAGGAATTTATTGAAACAAGAAAATCAGCCAGTATTAAGCAAGCAAATTCCTACAAAAATTTATTATCACCTCCAATATCCAATTTTATCTGAAGCACTGACTTGGTCATTGGAGAAAAGCTAACTATAATGTGAAAAGTAGCACATAAGCTAACTGGTCAAATGCACCTATATGATATTTTTATTGATATATTGCTGTGATTTGTTTCTCTCTTTACTATCTTCATCTTTCTTCTATAAGAACAGTATATTTCTCCTCCCGAAAGGAAAGAACGCTTGTGAAAAATATCATTATTCATTGGATGCCAGTGATGACTACCAATCCTTGCAAAATTCATAGCAGGTTGTAAATTATGTACTTATGTGACTTTTGGCATGTTTCAGCATTAAGGAAAACTAAAGATCAAAAAATCAAAAATTTCTATCTCTATAGAAATTCACCAACTCATCCATATATAAAATAATAGTATATTCACAACATGGCAACCCAAGGTCATAGCATGGGAAAAAGCAAACCTTTCAAATAAATAAGTCCACCATGAATCTTTAAGCATCTCTCCAGATCCAAATTTACCAAGTTAATTAAGTTGGTAAAAGACCTGATTCCTTCGGCAGTGATAGCATGGCTCTTCTTGAAACTTAAAGACGTCAAGTTTGGAAGTCCTGAAGGAAGAAACAAACTTTGCGATGAAAAATGTAAAAAAAATATCAAAATCATTGAGTCTAATTCTTCATCAATAAACAAAGTAGACAAGAGAAAATCTAGAACAGTTTTCATAAAACATAACAGCAAAAAGTGTCAATGTTCACATTCAAGATACTCAACCATAGTGAGGAAACAAACGAAAGAGCAATACTGAAATGTCTTCAGGAGTATTAATAAGAGAACATACAGGCAATATTATGTCATAATACAAATTGAGGACAACACATTAAAGATATTTGGGAAGATATAGAGAACCTCAGCATCTATGTAGCAAAAGGATATATTGTTGAAGAGTTTGCAGTTTCCATATTAAAGCAAAAGTCAAACACATGATAGACAAAATAATCAAACATGAAGAAAGCCAAGCAAAGTTTCACAATTAGAAGCTAGAAGTCATGCCCCAGTCAGAAGTTACATGCAAAAGCTTGTCCTCACACCTAGGTATACCTCAGACATCATTAGCCCTGTTGGTAATAAAACATGACAGCACAGATACAACATCACTTCCGAACTAAATACAAAAAGGTTGTCTTTATACACTAAATAAGGAGATCATTTTATCTGATCGATGATGTGATGCAATAAAGGCTCAGAAAATTAAGAAAAATTAGCAAGACATGGAGTAGAAGGCCAAAGATATTTACCAGATATGTGTTCTAAGCCATAATCTGATATTTGGTCACAGTAATTACATTTCAAGCTCTGGATATTGGAGCAATTTTTCAGGAGAAACAGTCCAGAATCTGTCACATCAGAGCAAGAGATATCAAGGGACAAAAGTGATTGCCCCTGAGAAGAAACTATGCCCATCCAACCATCCTTCACTCCTGGATATTCTCCAAGATGAATATCCTGATGACAAGCAAAGGTAAAAAAGTATCCACAGCTTTAGCTACAAGATCCAAGATAACAGAACAGCTTCCATATTATTTGACACTCATATGAGAGAGCACAACTTCTGCCAGAGACCTTATCTATAATTTTTATTTTCTGATACAGGTTAAGCAAGAGCATTACCTTGATGGTTATAGTAGCCATAAATTGTAGTTCATACTATTCATGATGAGAAATTGGAAAAGAGCTTTTTCCTGTCAAATAAGGGTTTAACTAGAACAATGAGATATTCTTCCTTCTGGCAGAACCTTGTTAATAATAGTGCATACTGATAAATACACTTGCTTCTGGTTGCTAATCATGGTTGCAAATCATTCTGAGTAGTTTATACAACAAAAGATGGAACTTTAGAGCAGAACCTTATCCAAACTTTATTTACAATAGAACACCTCAATCTCCTATAGTTGGACTATAAGAATAGAGTTCGTTGGACTAAAGCAATAGAATTTGTTGGAGTACAGCAAAAAAAGTGTGCACCTGAAGAGCACAATCCCAAAAAGCTTCAAGAGATCCATCAGTAAGGCAATGAGATTCCACTAATTCATTGAATATCTGCTGGCTAAGGTCTCTTGGAAGCATGGAAAAGCTGGTATACCTTTTTATATCCTGCTTTCACCCAAATACTTTTAACATAGTAACTTAATGTCTCAAGCACAACAGAAGTTGCAACATAAACAATATGTGTATATCAGCGACGCACCTCACGAACTTTAGCCACACACAACTCCATGAGCGAAGGGCACTTTCCTTGCCTTCCAGCTGTGACATCTGTGCTGCAACGGGGCAGCATAAGTAATAACCATTTTGAGCTTCCACTCTTAGAGTATCTTCCAGACCTGCGCAAATCATCTTCATCGAGAAGGTCTCTCTTCCTGGAACAAGCTCCCCCCATTGGATGACGATTAACTTCGGAGATGATACTGCTTTGTTGTTCTTCAGTTGTGCTGTTAGAAGATTAATTCCCCTCCATCTATACTATCCACAAGAACCCAAAAACCTTTTGTGATTCTCCTACTCCATCCTGTAGTAAGATTAGATTCTAAGTCAGCGTAAGCAGCATACTACAAAAGCTACTTCCTTAAAAAAAAAAGTTGGAATTCCAATGCAAAAAAGGAATCTTTGTGAGAAAGAAACAATCAAAATCATCTTTTTTACGGAAAATCAAGTCAATCCCCGATTAAACTTTAAAAGATCATGATAGATGAAAAATTCACAAGATCGCAAGACTTCTACGTCATAATAGGAGAAATCGATTATCTCATACTAAGCAAAACTTCAGAACAACGATCGCCCCGTCTTTTCTAACGCCATCAGCAATCCAATAATTCCAAGTCCAAAAGTAGACAGGGGAAACAACCAAAAAAAAGGTGTGAAAGCGACGGACTGTTCGAAATATCCAGAGGAAACTCACAAAGCCACACAAACCGGAGGATCGATAACGGTACGCTTACCCTAGAGGGTGAGGAAAGGAGGTGACGCGTGACCGAGGCTTAGGGATGGTAGAGACGAGGTGGCGGATGGGGGGAGGAGAGAGGGGAGTGAGGGCGGAGGAAGAAGCCCGAAGCGGCACGAAAGGAGGGAGGAAAGGGCGAGAGAGAGAGAGAGGGCTCCAAAGCCGACGGGCGGGGCTCACTCGCGCAACCACCAATGAGCTACGCGTGTTCGTGACAGTAACGAGAGCTCGTCGCTTCGTAGGGGCAAGGATAAGGCCGCGGCGAGAGGGCCGATCAGCTGTGCGGACGGGACACCAAATAGGATGGAACACCACGTGGCAAATAAATTGTGGCTGCCCGATGGTGGCCCACATTCACTAATTTTCATGGAAATATCCAATTTATGGTAATATCCAACAACATATAAAGGTTTAAGACAACAATATATTTCTTTTTTTTGTTAAGAGGCAAACAATAAGCGGTGATGTTTAAATAATTTATTTTCCAGAATTTTAAATGCTATGACTTCAATTTTCAATCGTATACAAATTAATATATTTCTCCAAAATCAACGATAAATATCAATGAGTTAATATATATTAGTTCACCATTAAAATCCTTAAAAAATATTACATATATTTCTATGATTATTTTTATATATTTTCTACCCTTACATTTAAGCTTATGGTGAAAGTATTAAAATATATTTTACGCATTTAATATTTTCAATATTTTCAAGGCTTGCTAACGACTAGAATCAATTATTCTCAATCCAAACAAAGTTAATTATTTAAATATATATATACATATAATATTGGCAGGGATCTATGTTGTACCAAAAATGCTATTGGATATATATTTGCATATATAAGCTTCAAAATTGGACACAAGTGGTGGTAACACACGGCGTTTTGGGTTTGGATAAGCACAGCGGATCCACGGAGGAAAGGCCGATGAGGAGGTCGCGGCCGACACGCCACCTCAAACAGAACCCATTTCTTTTTGTTTCCGCCCGCATATAAACCCATGGGGCGAAAAGGACGTGGGCCCACCATTAATTTCCACGAATTAAGTATTAATCCTTAACCCTATCCATATCTCTCTCTAATTAATAATTCTTAATGCAGGGGAGATTTCTTTGTGTCAGTCGAGTCTGTGACCCACTTCGGCACCCAAAGCTGACGTAACGATAATAAAAGAAAGAGAGGAGGAGTATGTGAACCGTACGCGCGTTGCGGACGTACGAATAGGAGAAGCCGGCGCAGATTGAGTCGGTCAAATCGAATCCCATGGAGATTTGGTGTGATTTGATTTGGAAGGCAAATTGAGTATTACATTTTTTTTAATTGTATTATCTGTATTAAGTAATTGGTTATATATATTAGCTGCTATTTTGCCACGTATTTCTCTTGATTGCCTCTCTTCCTCCCTTTCGCTGCGCCTCGTGCCCTCACCACGTGCTCAGTCCACCTCTCGCTATGCTCCCCACGCAGTACCGGTTCGCTTCGCCCTCCCCTCCAATTCCGCCGCCGCCGCCGCCGCGGGGGCTCCGGAATATGCTGTCTCTCCGGCCGAAGCCCGCGTTATTTAACCCCTTCTTCCGCCTCACGACGTCCGGCCGGCTGCGGCGCACGGGGGCCGGCGGAGCGATGCGCGCGATGGACGCCGCCCAGGTGTTCGACCACGAGTCCGGGGCGTCGGAGGAGCTGGACCAACGGGCGCGGCTCAAGATCGCGATCGTCGGCTTCGGCAATTTCGGGCAGTTCCTGGCGCGGACGTTCGCGGCGCAGGGCCACGCCATCATCGGCCACTCCCGCTCCGACCACTCCGCCGCCGCCCGATCCCTCGGCGCCGCCTTCTTCCGCGACCCCCACGACCTGTGCGAGCAGCACCCGGACGTGGTGGTGCTCTGCACCTCCATCCTCTCCACGGAGGCCGTGCTGCGCTCCCTCCCCCTGCAGCGCCTCCGCCGCAGCACCCTCTTCGTCGACGTCCTTTCCGTCAAGGAGTTCCCCAAGAACCTCCTTCTCCAACTCCTACCCCCGGACTTCGACATCCTCTGCACACACCCCATGTTCGGCCCCGAGAGCGGCAAGCACGGCTGGACCGGCCTGCCTTTCGTCTACGACAAGGTCCGCATCGGCGACTCGGAGGACCGCGCGAACCGATGTCGTTGCTTCCTCGACATCTTCGCCCGCGAGGGCTGCCGCATGGTCGAGATGTCTTGCACGGAGCACGACGAGAACGCCGCGGAGATCCAATTCCTGACCCACACCGTCGGCCGCCTCCTCGCCAAGCTCGACCTCAAGCCAACTCCCATCAACACCAAGGGCTTCGAGACCCTGCTCGAACTCGTCGAAAACACCTGCAGCGACAGCTTCGACCTCTACAACGGCCTCTTCATGTACAACAACAACTCCACGGAGCTCCTCGAGCGCCTCGAGCTCGCATTCAACTCCCTCAGGAAGGAGCTCTTCGGTCGCCTGCATGTCAACCTGCGCAAGCAGCTCTTCCAGAGTCCCAACGGCGGCGGTTCACCTGGCGCCGAGGAAAACTGAAGACCTTCTTCCTTCGTGCCTTTGCTTCTCGTCAAGTATGTGCACATTATTACTTTGCGATAACAACACAGGTTTGGTCTCATCCACTCAAGAATGTTCACTGTCATTACACCACAAAATTAACATGATCGTCGTCGTCAAGCATCAACCGAACAAAAGGCGAGGAAGGTATGTGATGGAGATCAGAGAACTCTGAAGAACAAGTATCGTAAGAGTTAGAAGATCTTGAACAGGAGACCACCATGAGTTGCAAAGAATGGTGCGAACACGAGCGATTCCACGGCCATTAGCTTGATAAGAATGTTGAGTGACGGACCGGACGTATCCTTGAGAGGGTCCCCAATGGTGTCACCAATAACTGCAGCTTTGTGGGGATCAGATCCCTTAGGGCCAAGGCTCCTTGCATGCTCCGATGCCCCAGCCTAACAACGCCATATGAGATCAGCTAATTGCATTCCAACACAGGTCACAAAGGTTTAGGGTAGCTGTACCTCAATATACTTCTTAGCATTGTCCCATGCGCCACCAGTATTGGATGCAGAGATAGCAATCTGCAGCCAGCATAAAGAAACCACCATCACTGTGTGTCGGTAAATACAGCAACCAAGTTATTGCATACCTGAACCCCAGAAACAAGAGAACCAGCAAGAACCCCGGATAGGGTTTCCACACCAAAGAAGGTTCCAACGATGAGGGGGGTAAGCATCACCAAAGCGCCGGGAGGAATCATCTCTTTGATCGAGGCATCTGTGGAGATCTTTACGCAGGTGGCGTAATCAGGTTTAGCGGTGCCTTCCATAAGCCCTGGTATAGTGTTGAACTGCCTGCGGACCTCCTCCACCATTTTTAGAGCTGCACTGCCAACACTCTTCATGGTCATGGCTGAGAACCAGTAAGGAAGCATGGCACCAACGATTAACCCGATGAACACTTTGGGTGTCAGAACATCAACTGTGGAGATCGCTGCTCGGCTCACGAAGGCACCAAAGAGTGCCAGAGACACCAAGGCAGCTGAACCTATGGCAAAGCCCTGGGAAAAGGCAGTTAAAATATGAAACATTTTCACATTCAAGGATTGTTGTGATGATTTGAATGCAACATTAATAGCTAGCAATCAAAGGAAACAAAGTGGAAAGCAGCTTCACAAGGGTAGTTGCAAACAAATTTCTTAAACAAATGCAGTTATGCAAATATTATCTATAATGAGAAAACACCATCCTGCATCTAGCGCAGACCCCGGTTCCAAAATCGAAACCATCAATTCTGTCAAATTTATAACCAGAACAGAATCAATTCTAGATAATTCCAGTTCAAGAATGGGCAGTTCAGTTCCAATTTCAAACCCAGACCATCAATTTTAATTTTTTGCTTTTATTTTTAATTTTGCCAAAATACCTCTCCAATTAGTTGTTTATTAAACTATTGGGAGGGAAAAATTCATCAATTGTGGGGGCATCTAGGTTTTTTTATTTTTCTGACCTGTTCAAAACCCACTGGTTTCAGTTCCAGATTCCAAGAACCAAATTCGAACCACTAGAGCTGAAACTCAAACCATTGATCCGATTCGATTTTGATTCTTCATCGATGAACCTAGTTCGATTCTGATTCGAACCAAACAATGGTTGGGTCTAAGTGCATCAACATGTCTAAATGCAATAAAGCCACCAACAAAGGCAATAACATTCTAATTACCAAGCTTGGAACAAGTTTCCTTGCCAAGCTTCGAGCAGATCAATCATGGTTAATAGGATGCAGCAAATTATTTTGGCAATAGAATTATGCTACCTTTCCAATGGCTGCAGTGGTGTTGCCAGCAGCATCAAGTGCATCTGTTCTCTCTCGAATCCTGTGACTCATTCCAGCCATCTCAGCAATGCCTCCAGCATTGTCACTGATGGGTCCATAAGCATCAATGGCCAGACCAGTAGCGATGGTGCTCAGCATGCCTAACGCAGCAACAGCAATACCATACATGGCAGCAAGACTGAAACTAACAAAGATGCTGACAGCAATGGCAAAAATGGGGATAATGACAGACTTGTATCCTAAAGCCAGCCCAAAAATTACATTAGTCGCAGCTCCAGTTCGGCAGGAATCAGCAACATCTTGGACAGGGCTGCAAATGAGTAGTTAACATAAGACATTATCTATGAACCACAAATCATCATAATTCGTGTTCATCAGAATAGAAGAACCAAGTTCTTACCTATATGCATTGCTTGTAAAGTATTCAGTGACAAATCCAATAACCAGGCCAGCCCATAATCCAATTGCAACACAGAAGAACAACTCCCTGTTCAGCTCTAATGATTAGATCATTTTAAGAACTCACCATCTTCAGAATTAAAGGGAAAATGATGCCTTACCAGTTTTTGACCTTCTTCTGCTCACCAAAACTGAAAATTGTGAAAGTTGATGGGAGTGCTATCCAACTGATAATCGCAATACCAATGGTCATAAGTGCAGTGGAGATTATGAGCTGCTTCTTTAGAGCAGGTTCGATCTCCTTCACGACCTTTATCTCAAAAAAGTCGGTTGCAAATAGAGTAGTTATCAAGCATACTATGATTCCCATGGAGCTGATAAGCAAAGGGTAGCACATTGCAGTAAAATCATGGTTGACTCCAAATGAAGAGATAGAGGCAACAACGAGAGCAGCACATGATGATTCAGCATATGA